GGCCAATTTTGGGTATTATCGTTTTTTGAGGTTTCGCGCGCGCACGCAATTTTAAGGCTTGACATGTTTAGTGTCTTTTTACCCGACGTGACCCCATCTTTTATATTTTACCAAAAAATTGGGTAATAATAAATGTTTTATCATTTAATATAGGGGAAACTGTTTTTTTAAAAAAAATTTCGGTAATTTTTCCTTAATATAGTAAAAAAATAAAACCCCCAGTGGTGAATAAATACCACCAAAAGAAAGCTCTATCTGTCCCCAAAAAAGGGTATAAAATTCATTTCAGTACAGCGCTGCATGACGGAATAAATGTCAGTTAAAGTACTGCAGCGCTGAATACTGAAAAATGGCCTGGATGGGAAGGGGGTTTAACACCGCGGATGTCAACTGGTTAATTGATGGGCCACTGCCATAAATAATAGGATTTTTGTCCAGTGAAGTACACGGTTAGGTATTAATCCTTAGACATTTGGGACACCTAAAAAGAGTCCAGCTGAAAGATACAATGGATGTGGAAATCTTACTACAAGAGTATCTGAAGAAATCAATGTCAAAACAAAGGTTAGAAGAAGAAGGTTAAAAAATGTGGAAACTGTTGCAAGCAAGGAGGGTAACCGAGGATCAACTTTGTGTGCCAGACCGGGATAGGTAATCACTAGAGAGAAACTGCTACCACCATAAAGAAAACAGGTGGAACAACACACCTGCTGAGCAAGATAAAAGAACTTTGACCAACAGCTAAGGTAGTCAACAAAAAGAATGTTTACTAGGGTAACAGCCGAAGCCTAGGATACCTAACCATTGACTTCATGGAAAGGAGAGGTGGACAAAGAAAGAAACCAAACCAAAAATAAACCAACTTGTTACCAGATGAGGGCCTATGTAGAACACCCTTAACCCTTGGCTACAGGAAGAAAGCATGTTACCCAATAGATAATTAAGAGATATGGATGGATATGGCTGCCCTCTCGGCAGCAATTTTTTCGATGGTGAACTTGCAGTATCCAGATGAAGTTAAGCAGAGGTCAGATTAAAAAACTGACCAACAGAGAAGTCCCTCAACAACTTTGGAAACTATCTGTTCCATAGAACCAGAGTAAAGGAGTAAGAAAGTGAATACATCCATTAGTAGATTCCTCCCAGAGTTAGAGAATATAAAAAAGAGATCAATCCAACCTTGACTGGAATCCAG